CCCCCAATTCCCCAATAAAAATCTTTAAAAATATATATATTTTTTTGTTATTGAACCACGTGGATGTGTTGTATATTGACATTTTACCATCTAACGTTTAACTGAGGAAGCCAGTGTTGCTGGAGATTCCAGGGGAAAGGAGCTGAGACCTGTGTGTCTCGGGTGGGACCATCCAGCAATGCCCAGTGCCTGTTTGAAGTGGGTTTGTCAGCAGCCTGAGATTTTCTCCAGCCAAGTTCAGTGCTCAGATGCCAATCTGGAGTCCCTGAGTCGGGTTTAACCAAGAACTTGGTTTGGGTCAGGTGATCACACCAGGGCACAAGCACAGCCAAGGCATGAGGGGGCTCAGGAGAGGTTACAGCAATGGCCCTGGGTTTCCGCTGGCAGGAGGCATGAGGGCTGTGAAATAGTGCTGGGCTGAGGACGGTCCTGGGCAGTGGAGGACTGCTGGGTACAGTCAGAAGCGAAGGAATCCAGTGACAGGAGGCTCCCATGGAGGGGAACCCCTGCAGCTGAAGTCCTGGAAGTGCTGTAACTGGTGAGGCCACAGTGGGCGCAGCCCTAAGAGAGTGTGGTGGACACGTCAGGAGCCGAGGGCTCAAGGAATTGGGAGGCAGCTTGTAGATGCTGAAGCCGCCAAGAACGCTGACCAAGTGGCGGAGGGGAACAGTGGGCAGGGGCTCATGTTTTCCGGGAATGCCAGGGGAAGACCCAGCGATGAGCAGATGAAAGCACCAGTGAAGAGGGGAGAAGGCATACCCACTGGCACGGGTGGGCGCTGCTTAGCCCCAGCCCCTGGCTTCTGCCCTCGCCCTAGAGGTAGACTCTCTGTGGAGTAAGTGGATGGGTCAGGCTTGTGCTGAAGCCTCACCTGGGAAGCCTGCATCAGGGGTGACCCCAAGAACAAGGGAGCCCATGGTGCCCTGATTCTCTCAGTCTTCCGGGTGGGTGGTGTAAACACTGAACCTGCATTAAGGATGGCGGTGAATTGGGTGGTCAGTGCTCCTGTGAAGACAGTTATTACCCCTGCAGAGACACCCCAAGGGCCTGGGACAGTGTGAGGTCAGGAGGATGTGGGGATGTCTAGCTGAGATCCCCACTAGTGTGACTGCTCCTGTTGGCTTGGGGCTGGCCCTGGAGGCTGGACCCACAGCCTCTCCCATCCAGCTGGTCCTGGGTCCTGTGTCTCCAGCACAGGAGGATGCCTGGAAGAGCTGGGGCCTCCCGTCTCCCCGGAGGCTAGCCAGGGCTTGTTCACACAATGGCGGGAAGGTTCTGGCACTAGGAGAGGGCAAGCCTGGTGCACAAACATTTTTCCAACTTTTGCTTGTGTCACCTTTGCTAATGTCCCAGTGGTCAAAGCCAGTCACATGGCTTTGTTTTAAGGGCTGGAGAAATAAGCTCCCTTTGGATGGGAGAAGCCCAGTGTAGCCATTTCCTCCACAATCTGCCCTCTGAAAAATACATTCACCCCATCCCAAGATCTCCCAATATCTCATCCAGTTGTGGACCAGGCTGGCCATTCATAGTCTCATGGTCCTCAACCAAACCAGATGAATGAAGATGGGCGCCTCAAGCACACCTCCTTGGGGACAGCAACTCTTGAGCCACACACACTTGAGCTATAAAGACAAGTCAGATGCCTGACACTCAACATAGAGTGGTGGGACAGGGACAGAATGACCGCAGTTAGCAAGGCCATGATCAAGGGGGGAGAATGAGAGACAACTCTGAAGGCGAGCTGCT